TTTTTCTTTCTTTTATGTTGGACTGAAGTGTGAAAGAGGAATGCGACTGTCTTGTCTTTTGTTGAGGAAAGAATTGTTAGCTGAAATTCGAACATGTTGGGAATTTGGAACACCACAATCCCCACACAAACGGAAGCGATAAAGAAATTGAGACAATAATTTAACGTGGTTCGACTTGTTCACCTCTCAACAAGTCTACGTTTACGGGAAAGAGAGAAATAAATACACTATTAAGAAAAAGAGTACAATAATTTAGAAGCTCTCTCACTCAAGAAGCACTCAACACCCTAACTTCAATGTATAGAAGCTCCCAAATTCCCTAATATTTCCTCTTAATCTACACAAGGATTTCTCACAATTTCTTTCTTTCTTTTCTCTCACAAGAGCTCTCCCTCAATTTCTCTTGCTTGCCCATTACCTTTGCATGCATGGCTATTTATAGTGAAAAATCCAACTAACTATGCACCATTTTTTTTGCCTCATTACCACCCGGCCAAGATTTTCTTTGCCCATTAAATGGCTCAACATGCAATCTTGCATGATTTCAAGAAAGCAATCCTAGCCCACAACTAGCTAGGTTGGTGAAGCAAACTTCCACACAAAAAGTCCATGGGTTCACACATGGGGTTGGACTTTCTTCCAACAGAACATTCCTCTCTGTGGTCGTTAATCAGTTGGTTTTCTTAATCGCAGTTCTTGGGAAACATGGCTGCTGAGAGATCTGGGATTGCCAAAGATGTCACTGAAGTAAGCTCTCTCTCTCTCTTTTTTGTTTTTTAGTATATTGTTTATATTGGTGGAGATTAGAGGAAGATTCATCTGCTTATGTTTGTTTGTTTGTTTGTTTGTTTGTGTAGTTGATTGGTAAAACACCATTGGTATATCTTAATCGGATCGTGGATGGTTGTGTTTGGTCGCATTGCGGCCAAGCTTGAGCTCATGGAAACATGCTCTAGGTTTTTTTTTTTTTTCTTTTTCTTGAGTTTGTTCTTATCTTAACATTAGGAATTACTAAGCTGATTTGAATTCTGAATGGGTTTCTTATGTTAACTATTAGATTTTTTTTAATCCTGATAATTGGTCCTGATGGTGCAGGATTGGTTATAGTATGATTGCAGATGCTGAGGAAAAGGGCCTTATCACCCCTGGCAAGGTAGTTTTTTTATTTTTTATTTTGTTTATTTCTGTAATTTAAAACTTTAGGTTGGACATTATTACTTGAATTGATTTATACATCATAGATTGTAGTCAGTCTATTTAG